GAGTCCTCTCCCAGCCTGCCGGCCTGGGGTTGCGCAGGAGGGGCTCCCGCGGGGGGACCCCGGCCTCACGCGAGCCTTTCCTGCCCGCAGTGAGAAGGCCCCAGGACGGCGCGTTCTTCAAGGGTCCCCCCTATCCTGGGTACCCCTTCCTGATGATCCCGGACCTGAGCAGCCCGTATCTGCCCAACGGGCCCCTGTCCCCCGGAGCAGCGCGCACGGTGAGTGGCCGTCGGGCGCGGGTGGGCGGTCAGGGCCGTGGGATGCGCCCCCCGGCCCTCCGTGGGGGGTGGGGCGGCCCTGCCCGGAGCCCCGGCGGGACTTGTTTGCCGAGTTAACTCCTCGGCCGCGGCAGCGCCTGGGGAGAAACCAGACTCCCCGCCCCCCGCCGCCCCCTTCCAGTAACGACCTCCCTGCCATCGAGTCTGTTCCGACTCGTGGGAGAAACTAAAGTAACTTTAAGTCCCCTGTTAACGTGGGGAGATGGCTTCGGATCCGCCGAGAGGTCGTCCCCGGCCTCTAAAACTCTTCGCTTTGCTGCAAAGGAAAACTTGGATTTGTGCCCACTTAGCGGGGTCTCGCTTTCCTGGCCGGAAAGCAGTCAGCTTTCCCTGGCAGTGGGCAAGGGGCCGGGGGAGCCGGGTTGGCGACGCTGCCTCCCCCGACTCTGGTTCCTTTGGGCTGCTGTGAGCTGATTCCCAAAGAAGCCTAGTGTTGGTGGCGGGTTTTCACCACCCCTCTCTCTAACCCCTCCTCTCGCTCTGGGACCTCAACTCTTCTGCTGGGCTCGACATATTTAAGCTTGCTTAGAGGATTTCGATGGCGACCCGAGGCGTTCTCCAAGTGGAGGAACTTGGCTTTTTCCCCCTTTGTTGCTGGCTTTTCTCATTTAAAGCGAGCGCTGCGACACTTTAGACCTGTTAATGGGCTCGCATTGTGTGCTGGGCGCTGGCATTTAGAGCGGTGATTAAGCAAATTGACTGGGCCCCAGACGACGTGCAAATGAGGGCGGATTCCTTCGTCCCCCTCCGTGGCCCTTAATGGCCCCCTCCTAAGGCTGGAGGGGGCCCTCCCTGGGCCCAGTGAGGCCTTTGTGTGCCCCCCACCCACCCACCGCCACTCCTCACCCGGGCCCTCTGCCCAGGTGTTCCGTCTGATGGCAGGTCCTGGGTGGGAGCGCTTACCTACTACGTGCTGTCCCTTGGGCCTGACGCCTTCTGAAGTTGTGGGGTTTTTTGGGTGTCTGTATGTGTGTCCTGCCTAGCTACTCTGTGGAGGTGGTTGGTTCTGGATTATTGGGCTGAGAGTTGTGGGAAGGCCTCTGGAGATTTGAGCTGAGCAAACCCATGTTTTGCTCAAATTGCACCTAAATAAGGATCATTGGAGTGCCCAGAGAAATTCAGTTTTGAATGGGCCCTGCACAGAGTAGTAACATCTATTGTGGGGGGGGAGGGCGGGGGCGGCGGCGGCTCATCACCCCAGGTGGGCATGGGGGTAGGGGCAGCCCCTTGGTGGACAGCAGGACCACCCAGCACTCTGCCTTCAAGCAGGGGCAGTGACCCCATAGCTTTGGCCTTGTTTGCCTAGAGCACCTCAGGTGGCCCTGAGTTCCCGCGTGACTTTGGGCTTATGGCTCCTTTATGGAGCCGGTGAGGTAAAAGGTGCATAAAAGCAAGCTGCCACGGCTTTAAGTTGACTTGGCTTGGTTCTCCCATGCCCACCGAGGCAGCAGCTCTGTCCCCAAGTTTTGGTCAGGGCTCCTTTATGGTAACTTTAGGGGGAAGGCTATCATGCCATCCAAACACTTGTTCCATTTTCCATGCTCAGCCAACACATGCCAGGTCCTGGTGTAGCGAGAGCAGCCCACATTTTCCCAGACGTGAGTGACTCCCCAGGCTATTCCATCTGCAGGGCCGTCCATTTTCCCCCAGGGCGTTTTCATCCTGGCAGTGTCCCAGGTGCAACATTTTGGGCTGGACCTTGGTTCTGCCAACTACCTCTCTTCCAGCTACCAGTGCTGGAAGAGCCCATTTTCCATCTATGGTGCTCCCTCCTTCCTGCCCACCCTCCCGTCCATCTTTAGGTGTCCCAAGACACTGCCGAGGTTGAGTCGGGTGGTACTGGGGATGTCTAGATGCAGCCTTGTGTGGGGTGTGGGGTGTGGGGGTCTGACGTGGAGAAGCCGGCATTCCCCCTCTGCATGCCTCCGACTTGTCTCTGCTCAGCCCTGTAGCCATTCCCTCGCTTGGTCCAGGTGGCCCTCTACTCTGCTGTGATACTCATCTTTTATATCATGTTGTGACCCTTTGTATAGTGGCCCTTTAGGCGAGTGCTGAACTACTTCGTATGGTTCCCAAGGCTACACGGCTTTCTGGAGGCAGACTGCCACATCTCTCCCACAAAGCATCTGGTGGACTCCGGCACCAGCCTTTTGGTTAGCAGTTGAGTGCTGGACCACACTGTGCCCCCAGGGCTTCTTCGACCCCTTAGAGCTGCAGTTCCCAACCAGTGGGTCTCGACCCCTTGGGGGTCGAACGACCCTTTCATAGGGGTCGCCGATTCATAACAGTAGCTAGATGACATTTATGAAGTAGCAACGAAAATCATTTTATGGTTGGGGAACTGTATTAAAGGGTCGTGGCATTAGGAAGGTGGAGAACCCACTGCCTTAGAAGGATTTATCGGTGTCCTAGCTCACTCACCTACATCATGTCATTCCCGAGATTTCTCTCAGCACTTCTGTGCCTCTTAACGTGCTTTTGGAGACTCTGGGTGCTGCTAACAGTTAATGTGCTTGGCTGCTGACCAAAAAGTTGAAGGTTCCAGAGGTGCCATGGAAGAAAGGCCTGGTCATCTGCTACAAAAAGAATTAACCTGCTGGGAACCCTATGGAACACACCTTTACTCTGATGCACTTGGGGTTGCTTGAAGGCGGAATGTTGCTAGGCCTGCTGGGTTACAAAGTGTCTGAATGTTTTGAGCATTTCCTGCATTTAGAGCAGTCAGCTCCATGGAACCTGCTCCTTTGACCCGGGCCTTGCAAGTCACAGGCAGTCAGGAAAGCAAGTGAGGAAGCACTTCGGCACTTCAGGGTCTCAACTGTAGGGTTGAAATGATGATGCTTTTCCTCCGGATGACTATGTCAAGGATGATTAGAGTAAACTTCACTGTAGGCAAGCTGCTCTATGTCTTTATACAGAAGCAGGCAGCCTCATCTTCCTCCCTTGGGAAGGTAGATTTGAACCGCTGACTTGGCGGTAACCAGCCCAGCACCTAACCCACAGTGTCACTAGGGCTCCTAAGTTCTCAACCTGTGGGTTGTGACCCCTTTGGGGATTAAAGGACCCTTTCACCACAGGGGTTGCCTGATTCATAACAGTAGCAAATGACAGTTATGAAGTAGCAAGAAAATCATTTTATGGTTGGGGGAGGTCACCACCACATGAGGAACTGTATTAAAGGGTCGCAGCACTAGGAAGGTTGAAAACTATTGTGCTAAGGCCTAAGAGTCGAATAAAATTGGGTGATTCCAGTTCTCGCCTGATCTAACATGCTCTAGAAACCTTAAGCCAGAAACAAAAGGGGGAGGGACTTGGCTGGAATGCTTTCAGGGTGTTGATTGACCCCAAGATTCTGAGGCCTCAGGCCTTCAACACCCTAATCCCCTGGCATAATTCCCACTGCCCAGTGCTGGAGCAGCGCTGCTTCTCCAGGCCCCCCACCCCTCCCTGCCCGCCCGCCCACCCGACCTGGCCACAGAGCACTGCCTTTGCCTTGTAGTCTGGCTGGGAGGCTGGGAAATGGCCTTTTCCTGAGGCTTTTGAGAGACCCTTCCTCAGACACTTGGTCTTCTTAACCTGGGGTATGCGCTGAGCCTCTGAGCTATGACCGATTCTTTGGGTCTCCCAGGGGCCCTATGGCCTGTGAAGATGGGAACATTGGCCACACATGGTTTTCCCCCTATTTATAGTAGTCGCCCTGCAAATTACTTGTTTGTTCATGAACGGCTTCATAGGTTTACCAAACCACATCGGCGCTGTTGACGAGAATTTTGTTTCGGAAGTGTGAAGTCAACAGAGAAGGGAGTGAATGTCAAAAGTTAGTTCAAGACTAATTATAGCGCGTGTGCCTGCGGGGGGCGGGGTGTGTGTGGAGGTGGGGGCGCCCCTGATGTTGAAGGTGGCTCAGCAAGTCGGCTACACACATGGTGAGAGAGAGGACGGTGTAGCTGTGGTGGCGGTGATGGGAGTACAAGTAACGTTCTTGGAAAAGAGTGTTTCTAAGTGATGCTGATGGCATTTCTGCCGTTGAGTAAGCGTTGGACTGTAAGGCCAGTGATCCAAACCCACCAGCCGCTCGCTCTAGCAGAAAGATAGGACTCCAGTCAACATGTCCATCATCGTGGGAACCTTTGCACAGGGTTATTGAATCGGGATAGGCTTGATGTCGGTGGTGTTTGCTTTGAGTTTGATGCAGCTTGGAAGGTTCCTGCGTGGCGCCAGCCCTTTGTGCTTGACGATGGCCCCAGAAGTTGGGCTTTGAAACGCACTCGGGGGCTCTGTAGAAATGGTTGGCCGTGTGCTTCTGTTAACATTTACAACTCGGCGCACTTCTGCGCCGTCTGCACGCGGGGGCGCCGTGAGTGAGAACGGACTGACAGCAGCAGCTTGGCTGGTTTGGTGCACCTGCAGTGCCTTCTCCCACCACCATCTCATCCAAACTGTCGGGGCGAAGAGGTGCTCGTCAAGCATGTGCACTCGATTTTAAGGCCACGGCAGCCACGGTTTCCCATGGGCAGTCTTGGCTCTGTCCTAGACACTCCTGCTTGCTTCCTGACACAAAGGGACCCAGGCAGAAATCGTCTCTGCATATGCGTTGTCTGTTTTTAGGAGTTGTATGTACAAGACATGGAAAACCTTGGCTGTTGTAAGATCAGTATAAACATGCTGCTTTGGGTAAAGTTCTTTTTAAGTCATTTCATCTAAATATAACTTATATTCTTTCTTTTTTTGTTTTTCCCCTTTTCTCCTAAATATAGCTCAGAGTTTAATGAGGTTTTCTCACAGGGAACAGGCTTTGGAGAGGCCCTTGCTTGTCTAGTTGAAGTTTTGGCACTTGGATTGCTGGGACGAGGATTGATGTGACAAACTATATGGAGGGACTCCAGCCCTGCATGGAATCCTGACTTGCTTTGTTCAAGTTTTGGAAAGTTAAAGTTTTG